AAATGTGTGTGTGTGTGTGTGTGTGTGTGTGTGTGTGTGTGTGTTTTAATTTAAGTGATAATTTACATGGTTCAGATCAGTATATCCAACTGCTTCATTTCTATCTCCCAAGCACCTTGAATTCAATAGATCCTAAACTAACATACTATCTTCCTTTCAACGGTACTTGACCTCTGTGCTTTCTGTTTCAGCTAAAGTAATAATCTTTACCCAGGCCTCCAGAAATCTGAGTCATCCTAGCCTCCTATCTCTTGGCCCCTTTCCTATTTAGAGTCTCCAGATCCTATCATGTGATCACAATAGCATTAGAATCTGTCACTCTCTTTTACACCCCACTTCCGTAGTCCAGGGTTAGAGTCTCATAATTCTCTTCACTCCAGCCTAGACCACTGCAATAGTATCCGAACATTTGTAAGCCAGCTTCTACATTGATGCAGTTATAATCCTAAAAAGCAACTTACTTAAAAACCTCAATGGCTCCTAATTCCTTAGGTCCCCAAACCTCTATCTCTCCTTCTGTTCACTTAAAACACCATGCTTCAACTGCCTGAAGGTACTTAATCTTTCCCAAAACACATCTTTGAATTTTTTTACATACTGCAAGTATTTGCATAGACAGTCTCTTGTGCATGAATGCTCTTACCTTCAACATCCAGACCAAATGTCATCTCCTTGGTAAAGAATTGCCCAACACCATCAGGAAACATCAGTCTCTTCTATGGTCCCCTAGTACTTTCTGATACCTTGATTATAACACCACATTATATTGTAACTATCTACTCACTTCTACGTCCCAAAATAGATTGTAGATCCCTTAAAAGCAAAGGTGTTCATCCAATTTTCTTGTCCTAACCTGCTGTTGTAACTGGCATATAATAGCTATACAACAAATGTGAAATAAATAAAATTTAATTTAGTTTTATCTTCTTAAATGACTAACTGCTTTACTGAGGACCTAAGGAAATAATATGTAAACTGCTTTGTAAATTTTGTAGAAATAATACATTGTTTTGACTTCCCTCACTAGTTCTCAGAATGTGTGGTGTCCCAGTGGGGCAGGTACAATGTTTGCAGTTCACCGTTCTACTCCTTGAAGTCCCTCAGCAGAAATTGCACAGGACTCAACAGACCATGGAGTATGGAGATAGAGGCTAGGACTTATGAGTTGAGAAGAATTGAGTTTGAGTCCCAGCAATATCATCATCGAATTTTGTGAAATATCACCATCTGATCTTTAAGAAGCTACATCAACTCCTTGGATCTCAGTGTCTCATCACTAAAATAATGTTAAATTTAGATCATCTTTCTATTCCCTATGAAGTCGAGAATTCTGTAACTACCCACTGAAAAGCTAAGACTTCCCTAGCAAACGCCCCCATATTTCAGTGACATCATCATCTTTTAAATTCCTTTGGAAATAAAACCAATTCAAGAGCCATAGTCAACATGAATGGTATCTTGTAAAAAATACCGTTGGCACTGACCAATGCAGTACAATTTGAAAGGCACTGGGAAAATCCTCAGCCCCAAATTTGTACATCTATTAGAGATTACTTTTCAAGTTAATGTATTTATTTTATCTAAACTCTCTCTTTTAAAACTCAGATACCTTCGTACAGAATGATATTTTCCTCCAGTCTTGGGTGGAATGTCTCCTTGCTTATACCTGCACTCTCAATCACAACACTTTCAGACTCCAGAAGGAATGTGCTTCCATGCTTTCTGCTCCCTTCCTAGAATTTCTTTACCTATAAGCTCCTTCATTCTGGGCTCGTATTATATTCAAATGTATTTCTACACTTAATACAAACCTTCTTTGATGTTTCTTCCTCTTCCAAATACTCTACTTTTCATTCTCCTTGTACTACTATATTTAGAGACAAAACAGGAGCCAACAAAAAATGGCTGAAGAATTAAAATGAAAATGAAATAATACCTAAACAAGGTATTCCTACCTAAACAAGAAGAGAATTTCAAGAAGAAATGATAATCAACATCGCCAGATTTGAAAAGTGGGGGAGAGAAAGGAGGTGAAGATGACTACGGCTTCCAGCTTCAAAAACGAACTGGAGACTGACCAATATCTTCCTTATTACAAAATCTAAAGGTCTTTACTGTCATTGGTGAAGAACATGTGGAGGGGTTAATAAAAATCTCCAAAGGAAATTGCATCAATTTTCAGAATGTAGACTATGAAAACCAGGTCTCCTTTAAACCCCTTTGGGAAGTCTGGCTTTCCTCCTGCCTCAATTCCCCTGTATGGAGAGATGGGGGATGGGGCAGGGGAAGGATGAACCGACACACTCGACTTTTAGATATGATAACAAGAATAACATCTTACTTCTTTTCTGCTTCAGTTTATTTTATTAGTATGTATTATTATTCCCTCATTTATAATAAAAAATTGAGGATCAAGAGGGGTTAAAAGTACTCTTCAAGTCATGCTACCCTCTAATGCAATACTCCTGAAAAGATACTGCTAAAACACTTCCAAGTTTGTGTCTGTGTCTTATCCTTCTAATCTTATATTCTTCAAAGGGCCAAACCACCAGCCTTTCCCCCAAGGTATCCCAGGGAATTCACTGACCTGCAGGTAGCTGAGGAAGAAATAGAAGACTCTATTACGGTGCCTTGTGTAGTTTTTAAGGAAGAAAACTGCCTTTATCTCTAACAGTCTTAGTTTCTCCTCAGATAACAGTTTACCAGAAAACCTTGAAGTTGGCTAGTAATTGTTCACCAAAAAGTCTCGGAATCCCAGCCACGTGATTGGCTGATCAGGGACAGCTGAATGGAAATGGATGGGCAGAGGCTCTCTACTGGCCCAGTGAATAATTAACAGCAGAAATACAGCACCGGTATTTACCTAATCTCCTTCCTCCTCACTAGCCCTCATTCTTGATAACATGTTGCAATCATTTTTCTCCTCTGCCAACCATTTCCCCTAAGTGAAAAGATAATATGAATTTGATGCCAGAATTTTTTTTCTTTTCATAAACACAAGATGGTTAAACAAAATGCAATCCAGCTAGCCTGGAAACCTTGGATACCGCAGGGTTCAAACTAGGTTCACAAAAATGATCCACTGTCCATAAGTCCGACAGGCTTTCCTGGGGCTCAGTTACCTATGGATGACCTTGCCTTGTGCTGGTCTTCATCCTACCCCGAGAGTGCAAACGGTGGGGAGTTTAACACACATACTGAGTCCCTGCTGTGTGCCAAGTTGTCTAGAACAATATTATTACTTAGTTAATCTAAACTACTACCACCACCACTACTACTAAATGCTGGGCACCAAATGATCTGCAGAAGTTAGTCTATCATTGAGTGCTGCTAGAAGACTGCAATGAAGAGCCAGTCATGTTTGTTATTACATAGCTCTAGAAAGGATGTCAAACCCTGTGAGGGCTTGACATTATCAATTAAGCTATTAATCCTCGGGATTAAGATTTGTATGCTCAGGGATGTGGTTCCATAATGTAGCAGTTAGCACATCTGCTTTACATGCAGAAGTCCTGGGTTCATGCCCCAGTGGGGCTAGAGTCAATGGTCCATGGTCATGCCACCCTGAATAAGCCTCATGTCTGATCTCGGAAGCTAAGCAGGGTCGGGCCTGGTTAGTACTTGGATGAGAGACCACCTAGGAAGACCAGATGCTGTAGGCATAAATAAT